ATTCCGTTTCTCTTCGCGCGATATCAACGACGACCCTCGTATCCGCGTATCGCCGGAGCGATAACAACCGGCGCCGAAAAAATGTCGAGCATATCATCGAGATTAACGACTTTCTCCACATGGCGCCTGCTTGTCCCGTTACAATGGCAGGATTTCGGACGAAACCCAAGCTGTCCTTTTTAAAATGGGACAGACATTGTCTCAAAGTATTACCGGCCGATGACAGACCCATACGGACCTTCGCTGCCAGCAGAGAAGGTCCTTTTAAAAGGGCTGGAGAACACGACCTACTACTGCGCGTTTGCCTTTGGACTGTCGGCTAAAAAGAAGCGGGTCCCTTCTCGTCCTTCTCTGTTCTCTTAATCCACCCCTGCGCGAACAGAAAGAATTACCTTCAATATAACGAGAAGATCGCAATGCGACTCCATTGTCACGACGCTGCGCGAACAAAGACCGGACACGGTTAAGCTGCGATACTTTCGACGACGACGCATTGTGGCCATAAAAAAAGGGGGGGGGGAGGAGAGAATTTCGATCAAGACCCGCGAATTACAGCCGCGTTGCCGAATTACGCTCGCTCGCTCTACTTCGCGCTCTCCTCCGAAAAGACCACCGGCGATCAACGTGCGTGGTTATTATCGGCACAACATTGTGGCTGCAGCGTTTACAGCGGTGAAAAAAGCAACGGTAATTATATTCCAGCGTGTAATTACAGTTGCAAATCCGGCCGGGCGCTTTGTTCCAGCCGGGACTGCGACTTTCCGCTTCGGCAGGCTTCCGCTGCCGGCAGGATCCGCGCCGCGGCGACGAGGTGCCGACGAGTCGCGGAGCGCCGAGGACGCAGAAATAGTCCGTCGCGACGATTTTCGTCCTGGTAAAGCAGGACGATATCGCTCGCGAACAAGCCACACGGGAGAACGAAAGAACGAAAGAAAATCGAAGACGACGGCGACGATGACGTTCTCCTCCGCTCGCCTCGCCTCGCGTGCGTCTCGCGTGCACGTAACGCGCGTTACATTAATGTAATTATTATTCAATATATGTATCAGGAATTATATCGGCGTATCGAGGGTAGGATGCCGAGGGAACCGGTAATTTACGACGCGCGCAGAATTTACGAGCGGCCGTCATGGAAATAGGCAGGCCGTCGCTTAATTAGCGTAATCATACAATTACGTGTATATATGTATATACAAGGGAGAGAGAGAGAGAGAGAGAGAGAGAGAGAGACGGAAAGATAGAGACAAACACAGACAGACAGAGAAAGAGTGAGAGAGAGAGAGAGAGAGAGAGAGAGAGAGAGAGAGAGAGAGAGAGAGAGAGAGTCGCAGTTTGCCTTACAATATTTTTCACCGTCTTTGATTACGGAGGCGACCCGCGCTCGAAACGCGCGCGGAAACGAGTACAGTCGTCGCAGTGTCCAGCATTTTCCTTCGTCTACTCCCTGCCTCCTTCGATTTTTCCCGGCCGATATCGATATCGATATCGCAAGGAGCGCGGTCGGCCGATCGCAGACGCGCGACATCGGCGAGTCGCGCGCAGGGCAACCGCCGTAGGAAACGTCGGCCTCAGGTGCCTGCGACACCTGATGCACCTGCGCGTCAGGCGTGCAGGTATCACTGCGACCGTCGATGTACGCGCGTCCATTGCCGATATCCGCGGCCACCTGCGGCAGGCGGGCGACGTCGTTAGCGCGGAAACCGACGGACGCGTCGCACGCGGCTCGCGTTGACGCTCCCTCGTCGACAGCTTTCGCCAATTATTTCGCGAATTACTTCGCGATATTTCGAAGCAAGTTACGTGGTCCCTAAAGTCCCGCGAGTGAGCTTGACGTTCGAAGAGCAGAGCGTCGGGAATAACCCGGGTGACTCGGGGCTCGAGCGAGTTTCCTCTCGCGCGGAGCGCATCTGACACTTCACGTGCGCACTTCACGTGTCGTCGCGACCACGAATTCACTCTGATCGATTCAAACTCCATCCACTCACGGGGACGAGGAATCCGCGAATGGCTCCGGCTTTCTTTTCATCATCGTTCCGAGTGAATTCTCCGTCGCGCCAGGATTCTTCGCGCTTTAGAGGACACGGAGTGTCCTCTACTTACTCGCAAGTGCCGAGCTGCCGTCGGCGTCGGTCAGCCGACGAAGCGAAGTGAAGAATACCCCGAATTTTATTCGCTATCTCGAGCGTGATTTCAACGCGCTTTCGCAGGATCAACGGAAAGCAACACGCCGGTGCAGCGCGCGTCGCGCGTCGCACGCGCGCGCGGCAGAGCCGGAGCCTTTCTCGCGGCCGCCGGTGACGGATCGGCGATCTCTCTCGCGGGATATTTATTCGATCGATACAATCGCGATATACCGAAGCCGGGAACGCGCCGCGCCGCGCCGGCGGGATAAGTTTAATTCGCATTCGCCCCCCCGCCGCGCTTTCCCTGGCGAGGAGGAGCGGAGGAAGAGGAGAGAAGAGCTACGCGCGCTCGCATCGTTAAGACGTCAATAAACGCGCGTGAGCGCTCGGCCGGCCATGTGATAAGACGTCGGGAAACGAAGAAGAAGAAGAAGGCGAGGTGCATCGAGGGTGCATCTGCGGTACGAATCTGCTGGTTTACGGACGGTGCGCGCGGCCGGGCGCGTCTATATAATTATTCCCGATGCAGGATACACATATCTTTATAAGGAAGGGTTCACGTGTTGCACGCGCTCGCTCGCGCGAGCGCGCGCGGCCGCGGGTATCCGCCACGGTATCTTTATGGCTTATTGCAACGCTTTAGGCAACTTCGTGATCAACGGAGGAGGAACGGGAGTGCGGGAGTGCGGAGAGAAAGAGTAGGGAGAGAGACTGAGAGAGAGAGAGAGAGAGAGAGAGAGAGAGAGAAGAGAGAGAGAGAGAGAGAGAGAGAGAGAGAGAGCGCGCCGTGATCCTCGGGCTCGGACGGACCGCACCGCACCGCACCGCACCGCACCGCGTTTCTATCTAGATTGCGCCGAGGCATACACATAATTGTTTTCATATTACCGCGCGTGTGCGAAAAATGCGGGGATTGAAGACGCGGAGGGGTGGGGGGAAGGGGAAGAGAGCCTCTCCGAGGCGTCGGACGCTTCTTCAGTCGCGTCTCGCAGGAACACGCCTCTATTATACGACGTTAATAACATATATTCAACGAGCCGAGTGCTAAAGACTGTCTCGCGCGACCGGGGAGTCGGTTAATTGCCGTGGAAGGATCCACCGTCGGCTAACGAAAAGAATCGATCGCGCACGACAAAGAGAAGATCGTAACTGTTGCCGGCCTCAAGAGTCGAGAGGACACAGAGCGCACGCAGTTCGTGGAATATATTTGTTAAAACGTCGAGACTCGCGGAAAAGAAGACGCTCTGAACAGAATTCCCATCGACGGAAAGAGGTCGTCCCGCCGCTCTCGCCGGCAAAGAGAGAAAGAGAGAGAGAAAGAGACAACGTTATCCCCTCCCGCCCCCGCTGCCCCAATCTCCGTCGCGAGGTACAATGTATCGCCCAGCCGAGCTATCGCCGAATCGTTCGCGAAACGCGACACGCGGACTCTCCCGCATAACGCGGACGGTCCACGTACGCGCGTCTCTGGTTCACCTTACGGAGATAAAGGGGGACAGGAACTCAGATGGAGAGATAAACAGATTGAGCGCGCGGGCCGGGCGAGCGGAGAGAGAGAGAGAAAGAGAGAGAGAGAGAGAGAGAGAGAGGCCGGGAGAGTATACTGGTTCAAGGGACCAACAATGCCCTCATTCAGGCCTCGTACACACGGGCGCATTATTGAATTCAGCCGCCTTCAGAGACAGATAGAGAGGGAAAGGAGTGACGGGGAGAGAGCCAGAGAGGGTTACGCGGACGGACAAGCGGCGAGGGGGGCGGGCTGGGCGCGAGGGAGGGGGGAGCGGGCTGAATGCTATCTATATTATCCGAGCAAGGGTTTAGCCGCGCGCTCACGCTGTTTGGCGTAGATCGAGATTATCTTCCGCGGTATCTGAAGCCGCAGCCGCGCGCCAAGCCGCCGAAAAGCGAAGTGCTCGCTTCGGACGAAAGGAAAGGAAGGAAGAGAGAGAGAGAGAGAGAGAGAGAGAGAGAGAGAGGCAGGGAGGGGGACGCGGACACACACGGGGGATGGTGCGAGATCGCCGCGAGATACGTTTGTGCCTCGTACACGTCTAGCCTCCAAATCTAATGTGACGTCTGTGTCACGTACCTCCTTCCACGCGCAGCTCCATGTCGCGCGCATAAACGGTCCTCTCCTCCCGCCCCTGCGTCTCTCGCCCTCCTCGTCGTCGAACGAACGCGCCCCTATACGCACGCATCGCCGGCGCCGTATCTGCGCGTCTCTTGTCGTTCTCCCTGTCTTTCTCCACCCTCTCTTTCTCTTTCTCTCTCTTTCTCTCTCTCTCTCTCTCTCTCTCTCTCTTTTCCTCTCCCCCCCCTCTCTCTCTTTCGCTGTACAAACGTGGGACATGTACGCGTTAATACGAGTGTCAATCCTGATATTTCGCCCGGCGGTTCCGGTCCTCTCTTTCTCTCTCTCTCTCTCTCTCTCTCCCTCTCTTCCCCTTTATCTCTCCTCGTCCAAAAGCTTTCTCTTACGCGGGATTCTCTCTTCTTGGTTCCCATCTTGGATTTTTACCGGTGAAAACTGGTCGAGCAACGGCGAGAATTGGCGGATCTTGCGCCGGGCAAGCGGCAATTCCGAGCCATTATACGATTGGTGTTTTCGCGCTCAACGGCCGAAAGTACAACAGAGTTTGAGAACCGGAAGCGACCCGCCGTTTGAGATTTGCTGAACGTTCGGTTAGACGAGTTAGAGTCTGGTTAGAGCGGTTAGAGGGCCGGAGGAGGGGAAATGCGCGGAAATTACGCTAACAAGAGATTCTTCGCGGAACGCCCGTCGCTCCCATTGATGCTCGATTAAAAATACCTCCGCGACATCTCGACGGACGTGACAAAGAATGAAAATATATATTTAATAAATGTATATTTCATCGTTCTCGAGAGGTATCGTTACGCATCTTTATTCAACGCGTCTATTCAACTAGTCCAACTAAGAGTATCTTCTCGTTCTCAATTAGAAGCGATAAAATGTTCTCTTCCTCTGGTCGTCCCGACGCGACCGGGCGACGCCCGCCGCCGCCGCACTCCTCGACGCGCTTCTCGACGCCGACGTCTCTCTCTTCTCCTCGGCATCTCTCTGACGAATACTCGATAAGCGCATCTCAGTAGATTCACCGGACGAGACTCAAGTTCGCGTCGAAGCTCTCTGCTCCCGTCGTCGCCTTTCCCGTTTCTTCTTCGCCTTGTCTCGCCGACGCTTCCCGCTCGAGTCCTTCTTCGCGGTGCTCGCCTCCCTCGTCCTCGCCTTCTCCGTCGGCTTCTCGGCTAGCAGTTCCTTCGTGAGAGACAGACTGTCTTCGTTCTTCTGCAGCGTGTCGCGAAACATCCTGAGATCCGGCGCTGCGCTTCCAGCTGCACTTCCGTTATCGGAATTGTCCTCGAATTCGACGTCCGTGCTGCTGTCTGGCCGGATCAGGAGCCTGCGGTTGCTCGACTTGCGACTCTCCCGGTGCGCTGCGTACCTCTTCCGTGGCAGCTCCTCCGACGGTAACTCTCGCGACGCCACCGGAAGCGGCTTAACTATTCGTTTGTCCGACATGTTCGAGTTGTCGACCTCGACGTCCACGTAACCGAGCGCGTTCGAACTCGCCTGCCGACTCGAAGAATCGCCCTTCGCTCCTCCCTTGCCGGAGGAGGAAAAGCCCGCATGATCGCTCGGTCGATCCTCTTCGTCCGCTTCCTCCTCTTCTGCAGAACTCTCCGCTGATACGCTCGTCGAGCTATAAACCATCACAGACCCTTTGCTTTTCTTTGCTTTCGCCGGAGAGGAGTTGGTGTTTCTCTCTGTGTTACTCCACGTTACCCACTCCTGCGTGCGATGTTTGCTCGACCGTTTGGATGTGCTCGACGACTCCTGAAGAGTGACCTCGTGTGCAATGTCCTCAGTGCGCTCGGAAACGGCGTCGGGAGTATCCTCGTGGTAAGACTTCCCAGAGCCGACGCCTTTATCAACTTCCTCGGACGACGCGATGGTCTCGAGCATATGGTGGACGGCGGTCTCCAAGGACTCCTTGTTCTTCAGGATAGAAGCCGATAATTTCGGCGTATTTTCGCTCAATCCGAACGATCGCAACTCGGAGGACTGCGGGGAGTCCTCGAGCATCCTCATGGCCGGCGCGACGACGTCGTCGTTGAGATCGACGGCTTCAGCTCCTGGACCGTCGAGCTTCACCAGCGGCAACAACGCGCTTATTTGCTGCTTTACGTCGTCGGGTACCTGAGATACGTGCTCGACGAGGTGCTCGAACAACGCTGTCAGATATGTTCCTCTCGTCGCGTAGGCTAGGTGGTCGAAGCCCACGGCGTGTACAAGATTGTCGTACTCGTTCTCGAAGAACATTGCAACCTTCACCGCTCCGGCCTCGTCTGCCTTGCTGTAATCGACAGCCTTCATCACACCATACAGGTCCACGTTCACGTTCGAGTTGGCTGCGTATTTCCTCAGCTCGATCGGTTGCGCACCCGGGCCTGTCCTCAGGATCTTGTCGCTGAAATATTCCAGAGCCTCTTGCTGTAACGGATCCTCCTGCACCGTGCGTAGTCCTTGGCCCAGATCCACGACAGCCTGCAGAAGCTGACCTTTGGTCACATAGTCGAAAGGATCCTTGGGCAGCTTGAGTTCACGCAGCAAGTTGGGGATAGAGAAGAACCTGATGATACCGCGAATGATTCTCTCGTCGCGGGTCTTCGGCAACGCGAAGAACAGCGTCTGCACGTTGATGTCATCCATCGTTCGCGGGATCACGTGCTCGATCTTCACCTCGTTGTTCAGGACCTTCTTCAGGTAGTCGGACGCTTCTCGCAACCCGTGCGTGCCGTTCATCGGGGGTGTCGCCCGCAAGATGTCGCTGAGCGCGACCAGTCGCTCTCCGAAGGTGGGGTACTTGGTGCGATAGTCGGCCAAGATCACCTGCAAACTCTCGCTGACGATGTACAGCCTGATGGGGTTCACTTTGCTCACGTGATACCTGTAGTCTCGCATCTGCTTCAGCAGCAACTCTGCCTCTTCCTCGCGAATGGAATGCCAAACAACCGGCTTGAGCGACTCGATGGTCTCTTTGATCGCCAGATCGACGGGAGCGTTCTCCGTCAATTCCAGCATACTAAAAAGCAGTTGCTTCGACGTGCCGTCCTCCGGCACGAACTGTCGTGTCACCAACTGCTCGATGTCTCGACACTGCATGAGGAGTCGTAAGTCATCGTACTTGTCCTCATGCGGGATCTCGTCGATCGCTCGGCGCACCTCGTAAGCGGACGGGTAGTCTCGCATACGGAGGATCACGTAGTCGTGCAGAAACACCTCCAAATCGTTGAGCAGAGATTTGCTCTTGATGACGTCGGGTCGACGGATCAGCTCTTTCAACGCCGCCCGCAGGACCATCGGCAAGGATCCGTGAAAATAGCCGCGATACACGTCCTCGATCGGCCTGGTCAAGTTGCCCGCGTGACCCAGGGTGTAGAGTCTCATCGGGACCAGTTCCTGCTTGAATGGTTCCTGCTGCAAACCTTCCTTCAAAGCGTTCACCAGGTAGGTTTCTCCCTGATTGCGAAGAAGATTCACGGTAGCCTCGAACGCGCTCTTCACCGTATCGTTGAGCCGCACCTCTCTTATGAACAACTTCGAGAAGTGGACGATCAACGACCACTGGTGTTGCACCGTGTGCTCCGGCAAGAACTTGTAATTCGGCGGTAATATCTTCTCCAGATACTGAGGACTCACCACGAGCTCGCGATAAGCCTTGTACTCGTCCGCGGCGAGCCCGTCTGCTTGATTCAGCTTGTCCATGACTTCCGTGGAGACGTTCACCTTGTCCGGCAGAGAGCGCACGTTCGTCTCCAGCGCATCGAGCGCGGAGAACATCCTGTCGTTCTGCAGCTCGTGCGTATTCCTCAGCGCGGTCAGCAGGTCAAATATGCGCTGCTTAAAGGTTGTCGCCTTGTACACGTCCAAGTCCCAGCTGAGGAGCGACGAGACATCCAGCTGGGATAGATAGCGCAGCAGCGACTTGATGGAGGTGAAGTGGGTGCAGGGTATCTCCTTGATCAGAGCCTGCACGTGTTCCCGTGTCACGTCCAAGTCGGGCATTTTGCCGAGGAGTGCCTCAGCGTTGGTCAATGCCTGCTTCGTGCTGACGTCCGTGGGATTCGCTAGTTTGCAGTAGTGGAGGATCTTGGCGATCTTCGTCTTCCGCGTCTGCAAGGCGCTGAGGTCGAAGCCAATGGGCAGGTAGCCTACTAACGTCTTCAGCCGGCAATTCGTCACTAAGTGTCTCACGTAGAAGGAGCGTAACGGCAACTGCAACAGCAGCTTCTCAATGTCCGAGTCGTTCAGCCTCGGCATGTCCGGCATCTTGCTGACGATCCTCCGGACGAAGCTGACGGAGTCCGCCGACGAACGGAAGATCTCGCTCTTGGACAGCTCGTCCAAGATCGCCAGCAGCCGCAGTTTCTTCGTTTTATACTTGGTCAGCTGGAAGTCCGCCGGCAAAGCCGCGATCACCTTCTCCGTCGTCATCTGAGCCTCCAACTGCTCGATCTGCTTATACCGTTCGAACGGGATCTCCAGGATGATCGATCTCACGTCCTTGGTGTCGACCACCGCTTCCTCCAATATCACGGTGGGGATTACTTTCGCCAACTCGCTCACAAGCGCGTCAATAGCCACCTTGGTCTTGTCGGTCTTCTTAGAACCGAGAGTGACGTCCAGCATGACTAAAATGTCGTGCAACGCTGTCCTGACGTTGGACACTCTTTTCAGGTCAAAGGTTCCAGGTAATAATTTCACTAGCACCGACGGCTTCAGGTATACCTTGACCAGTTCTACGTGAGGTATGCCTTGGCTGGGGATTATCTTCAGGATCGGCGCAAGGTCCTCCTTACTTATGATTGGCACGTCTGGGTGGTCCTCCACTTCCCGTAAAAGCGCCTCCAGTTCTACCTGCGTGTCGGTGTTGGATCTTAACAACTGCCGCAGCAAGTACGAAGCCTTCGTCTTGAACGTCGGCCGGCCGCGGAAGTTGAAGGACTCTGGTAACAGACCTAGCAGAGTCTGCGGATTCAGGAACTCGCGTAGCTTCGGTGACGACATGTTGAACAGGCTGACAAAGCTGAGGTCATCAGTGGACAAGCGATCGACAGTTTTGTCGGAGCCCAACAATCGCCTCGATTGGCTCTGCTCGAGCAAAGACTGCCTGGTGAACGTGATAGTCTGGTAGAGAATCGCTCTGCGTTTCAAACTAGACACCCGCAGCAGATTTTCCAACACCGCGACGAGGGCGTGAGTCGACGTGCTGTATCGGCCGTACTTGAAGTCCGGCGGCAGATACTTGATCATGTTGTCGTGATTCAGGAAGATCTTGAGCGGGACCAAGTCATACTTGAGCTCGAGACTCGCCAAGGTGCGATGCATGCTCTTCACGTCCTCCTCGGTGACAAAGTTAAAGCGCTCCTCCAGGTTTTCGCGCAGTTTCTTCACCGATCGTTGAATGTTCTTGTTCTCCAGCCGGTCGTCTTCAATCAGAGACAACAGGTGAAGCAGCTTCTTCGCAGGTGTGTAATACGGCTTCCAGTTCATATTTTCGGGGATGTGCTCGAGGACCTCGTCGGACCGCAGGAAGTTCTTAACGGACGTAAAGTCCTTTCCGCGCGGTATGAGACTAAGCGTCACCTTCCAATCCTCATCGGTCAAGGATCTCTTCGAGGTCGTGTCGACGCCCATGGTCAACATTAGAGCCCTCTTGAAGGACAATAGATGTCTCTGCATGTCGTCATCGACCTCTGCCGCTCCGTGATCCAACAGAGAGTCGACGATGATTCGCAAGAGCTCGTTATCCTCGTCAGGTATCGCAGACTGGTCGTCCAAGCTCAGATAGCCCAACACTTCGGGCTCTAAGACGTGGTTCAAAAAGTCCACGTTGACCTGTCGGACATGTTGAAGCTCCAACAACAACGGCTTGAGCTGAGCGACGGTGACGGTCGGCCGGATGTTCAGTCGCTCGATTTCGGACAACATGGCCTTCAGCTCGCTCGCTACGGTATAGTTGTCGCGAATTTCCGGCAGACCCGCCATGTTGAAGAGCATAGCGCTCAACGGATTGTCCGATTCGGCGATCTCGTTGTCGTACGTGAGACGGGACAAAGTGTCGTCGTTGAACAAGTGCTCGATGAGCCGGTACCGTCGCATCACATGACTCGGTATAGTATTCACTATATCCACGAGATCCGACAGCAGAATATCGGCCGGTGCTCGAGCCGGTGTGTTTTTCAGCGCGGAGAGCGCGTCGAGGAATCGCGTATCGTTGTTTGTTCCGTCGCGTTGTCGCTGGAGAATCTCCAGCAAGGCGCGATAGCGTTTCTTGGGATCCGCGATCGCGAGGATGGCTCGCCCGACCTTGTCGTTGACGTTGTTCCTGTGCAAGAACAACCTGATGGGAGCGAGCTCGCTCGTATACCCGATCCCGACCTCGTCGAGCACGGTCAACAAGTCGACGTCCACTCCGAACGTGATCACATCTTGCCTGACGGTGTTAAGCAGCCTGGAGACTTTGCTGTTCCGTTGAATCGCTTTATGAGACAACAAGGTACGCAGCAGCCCCAACAACGTCGCCTTGGCCGACTTGCCGGCGCGAACGACCTTGATCTTGATCTTACTGAGACCGGCGACGGTGAGGAGGTCCTTCACGGGATCGTAGAGAGCATCCTTCACCACGGCGACAGTCCTCCTCAACGACTGCACGTTCGCTCTCCACCCGTCTAGCTTCATTTCGACCTTGAAGATAGCTCTCAAGAGCGCTGAGTTATCGGCAACCTCGGCTCGTTGCTTCACGTGATGTAATATCGCCAGCAACAACTCTTCGTTGGCCGAGAAATCAGACTTCCTCATGTCTACCGGAAGAATACTGTACACCCAATCCGGCGTCAGCAATTTTCTCAAAGGTGCGGCAAACGTCTCAACCGGCAAGAACGACACGGCCTTTGCGATTCTTCTCTTGCCGGTCTCTTCGTCCGAGTCTTCGTCACACACGAGTTCCGCCAGAGCCATCGTCGCGGCCTTCTTCAGCTCGTCGGAGGTGTTCTCGTCGTGGATGATCCGCCGAAGGTAAGTCTCCGACCAAGCTTGCCGCTCTTCAGGCGCTACCGTGACGTTCTGCAGCTTCAAGTTCGACAGGAGCGGCTCATAAGCCGCGTCGCTCGGATCCTGCAACGTCTGGATCAGATAAGCCGAGATCGGCGTGTGACGCTCCGTTGATCGACCAGCCACGCCGCCGTCCAGGGAGCTCAACACTGCCCTGACCCGCCTTAGCAGCAGTTTCTCAGCGCGCACCATAGGAGACTCGGCCAGACTCTTCAGCAAAGTGATCAACGCGTCGCATGCGTCTGCAGCTTCCAAAGCCGCGAGGTCAACTCGCGGCACGAGCGTCATCAAGTTCGCCTTCCTCAGCAGCAGAATCACGGGTTTCGCATACGTGGTGCCCGGCAAATATTCCAACATCGCGTTCAACGTGCGTTCCTTCAGCATATCAATGTCCACAACGGCCTTGTCGCTCATGACGCTTTCCGCTCGCTTCACCACGTAGGCTAGGTGCGAGTTGTTGGCGATCTCATTCACGGGGTAACTCAGCAGCCTAGCGAGAACGGCCTCGGGAGTGCCGCTGATGGAAACGTTCCAGTGGCTCACGTCAGCGTACACCGGCGAGTTCAGGATCTCGTTGCGGAGGGCTTTGCTGTGCGACAACAACTGTCGCGATAAATACACAAAATCGCCGCGGTCGAAAGGCCGAGGTGGCAGCGGGGGCCCGTCGAAGCTGTCGAGCGCGAAGCTCAGAGCCCCCGCGAGCTTCGGCTGCATGGCTTTCAAGCTGACCGTGCGCAAGATCAGCGACAGTACGTCCGCCGACGTGTTCACGCCAGCCAAGCTGAACGTCGGCGACAAGTACGCCAGCAACTTTTGCTTCTTGAAGAGCACCTTCAACGGCAGGTAGCGCGGGTCATTGTCGATGCCCGCCAAGTTCTTCAGCAACTGCTGCAGCTCCTCCGTGCCGTACAGATTGACCAGCAACGGCTCCTCGAGATAATTCCGAGCATTGTTGAGGACCCTGAAGAGAGCTTCGTTGGATTTCACGAGCGGCAGCGCGAGTGCTCTCTTCAGCATCGCCGAGAGCAGGCTCCTCGGGCTCTCGTACTCAAACTTGTTGAACTCACGGCCGAGGAGCTCGAGAACGTTCGGCTTGGACAGGAAGTTCAACATCGGCGCAAAGTTCTCGCTCCTGAAGGCATTCGGTATGCGCATCAGTAGGGAGAACAGGTCGACCTCCACGTTCGTCGAGTCGTCTCTCTGAAAGACCACGCCGTAGTCATAGATCTGTTCTCGTCTGCCGGCCACCGCGTGGACACGGCTCTTGTAGATGACGTCGTCGAGCGCGGTCGCTCTCGGCTTGCTCATCGGCAGGTTCTTCAAGCGAATCAACGAGTTCAACAGCAGCTCCCGAGGATCCTCGCTCGCGCGTCTGTCCCCGAGCGCATAGGTCCAAGGTAGCTCCTCGGTCAACAACGGACGCAACGTTCGCATCGCGTCGACGACCTCCCGCTGCAGGCAAGGGGTATCGAAGGTGTCCAGGTAATCGTTCAGCTCATGGACACTCACCGGCGTCACGTAGTCGTCGGAGTCTTCGTTCATCAGCCGCTGGGAGACGAAGGCACACAGCAGCGACAGCGGCTTCTTCATGTGCCGCAGAGCCGGCTTCTTACGGAGCCGCAGGAGCACCTGCAGAAGAGCGTGCTCGCCGCTCTCGTAGAAGCCGACGTCGAGGTCCCGCAGGAACGAGTCGTCCAGAAGATCCGCGAGGCTTCTAGCCACGAACACGACGTCCAACGGGTACCGTTCGCCGCTGATCATCTCGAAGATCCTCCTCGGCTCATCCTTCCAGGCTGGAGCTTTCGGATAGGAGCCCACGCCGAAGTTCTGAAGCAACACGGAGACCGCTTCTCTCGTCACATCGGACGACCGCTCGTCCACTTCGAGGCGCTCGAGGACCGCCCGCAGGAAGTCGTCGGCGCTGTCCAGGTTCGGCTCCATGTACTCCAGCAGAGGATCCGCCGGGCGCGAGCGTTCCTTCATCCGCAGCGCCACGAACTCGATGGCGCCGGGCACCTCCGGGTCCGTCGTGTCGAACGACGGCTGGTTCAGCAAGATCGCCGACGCGGTGCGCAGGTTCAGCAGCTCGCTGTCGTTGCGGGCCGTCCGCAGCAACAAGTCTGTGGCCGCCGCCAAGGTCAACGGTACCCCGCCCGGCCGGCGCTTGTCCAGCGAGATCGCCCGTAGCATCGCGCGGTCCAGCTCCGTCAACATGTCGTCGAGCGGCGCGCGCTCTATGCCGGCCGCCGGGAAGGCGCTTATGCAGAGCGACGCGTACTCCGAGACGAAGCGGCTGCCGACTCTCTCCAGCATCTGCAGGAGCTTGTACAGCTGCTGCAGCGGCGTCCTGTCGCGCAGCGCCGGCAGCACATGCAGCAGCTCGTAGACGGCCACGTGACGAGTCCGCACGACGTCGTGGATCAGCTCCAGCGGCACCCTCGCGTCGTCCTCCAGGCAGAGCAGCAGCACGCGGCCCAGAGCCGTGACCAGACGACCTCGCAGGACCGCGGCGGTCTCTAAGCGCGAGACAACGTCCTGCGCGGTGATCGGGGCGGCCGACGGGTCCTCGTCGACGGGAACGGCTCCTCCCATTGATCTCCTGGCGGAGCAGCGTCCGCTGGCGTGATGACGCTTCCCGCCGAGGTCTGCCGAGGTCTGCGAGGGTGACTGCGAGTCACGCAGTGCGAGAAACGGCTACTTTACTTATCTTGTTCGTTACTTATTCACTCGTGGATTCGTGTGTGCGCTACTTTATCTCTCTTCCTTTTGTAATAATCTCTCTCGACGGCTCTTTCGTCCGATCAAATAACTTTACCCGGCTCTGCTATATATAAAATGCTTGCCATTGTAGAAAATTATAATTGTAATGTATAATAACTGTAATTATAATTATTATAATAATAATAATAATAATGTTACAAATGATAGATTTATTCATTGTGATCTCCTTGTGATCGAATCATTCGCGTCGTCGTTGCCCTTCTCGGTTTTGTTCTCGATTTTCCTCTTCCTCAGATCGATCAAGTATATCCCGTTTGTCGGGTTAACGCGCGCGAATTCGCGTCGCCCGGCGAAGAGTATGTCGGTGTTGTCTCCCTCCGGCCTGACTACTCACCGACACTCGTCGAGCGGCGACAGAGCCCGCGACGAGCAGCTGCGAGAACAACACCGCGGCTATCACGGCGAGCGCTGCGATGCGATTGATCCGGAATGGAATTCGGAAATTTGCGGCGTCGGATCGACGACGTACGAGCGACATGGCGCTCTCGCTGCCTGCAACGTGGTCGTCGGGATAACCGAGAGCCGCGTCGCTCGCATTAGTCACCTGCGGAGAGATAGTAAGTTGCACCTTAAATCTCTCTCACTTACCTTACGACTTTTCTCGTCTCCCTCCCTGGCCCCTTCGGTTTCGGAACGACGGTGGGTGCGACGGAGGGATGATATATTTAATCCGATTCTCTAATTTCGCCCGCGCGCAGGTGTTCTCTTATTTTGCGGCGTGTTACGGCTGCGGATCTTTTACGTCCGCGCTTATCTCAAGTGCGCTACGCACGCTCGGATAGCGCGAAATTAAAACAAGCGCCGATAAGAAAGTAATCGCCGCTCGATTCGAGCTCAAGGCGCGTCGTCTCAGTCGGTCGCCTCGTCGCGCGATCGTCTCGAAATTGCAATTTCACGCGGATGTGTTCTGCGCGCCGAATATTTCAGCACGGCAACGGAAGCAAATTCGTCGTTCCTGCGAGCGAAATATGCGGGAGTATACGCGCAAATGGGCACACTTCTTAAATTCGTAAGATCCCCCCCCCCCGCGCCCCGGGACTCTTTCGCTCGATCATCTCTCAATCGCCGACTGACTCAATCTCGCCTATCCAGCTATCTCTCTCTCGTTTCTCTTTTCCCGCACAAATTTTTGTCGAAACGCAAAGTAAGCACTGGGCCGGCTAACGACGTTCGACTAGGAAAGGAAAAGAGAAAAAAACACGAGTTTCCTCGCGGTCGGCGATATCGCGGCGAGATCGCGGGTGTGTTTTCCGAAGGAAACGACGCCGACCTGGAAACGTCGCTCAGCGTCGCGGGCGAGTATAGGAAGCAGAAGGAAACATTTCGAATACCTCTCACGCGACTCTAATATCGTCATTATCCATCGCACAGAGACTCACCAAGCAACGGACACGGCGCACGTGTCGCATAGTAAAGCGATTTCTCTTCGCGAGCGCGATCCAAGCGGCGGCACGTTTCCGCGTCTCCTCGAGAGCGCCGGACTCGGTGGACTCGTCGGAGACGTCGACGTCGGGGCGGCCTGTGTCCGCGGCGAGAAATCGCCAATCGATTCCCCGGGGCTCCGCCGAACGCTCTTCCGCCTGGTCAACCGAAACGGCGCGAGTCACGCTACGTGGAGCGTCGCAACGCGGCGGCGAATGAAGCGATAATGCAGCCGCGGCGAGGAGCATCTCGCGCGCGAGCGCGAGCGCGAGGCGATAACGCGAGCGCGACAAGGAGCATAGGAATAAATGGCGCGCGCGAGTTAAGGTGTGTAAAATCGCGGGCGGACCTTCTCCTGCGCGCTTAACGAGTGGAAAATCGATACCGGGTGTACGAGCGGCGCGAGCTTCAATAAAGTCTTAACGTTCGGAAGGCGAGAACTTGCTCGACCGGCCTTTCTAATCGCTCCCATCGTATCCGCGGATATAACACGATGCGATACGCATATGCGATATAAATATCAACGTAGTAGACTGCGGTGCAATTCGTTGCGAATGATGCGAATTTGACGCGATGTGTAATGTTGTGTAATACACGAGAAGAAACATAAAATGAATATCATATCATAAGATCATAAAGTATCGCAAGGTGACGAGACATAATGTAGCGTTAAAGAGAAAAGTTGCGTGTCACGTTAATTTTACAACTATTTATTGACTGCTTGAAAAAGGATACTTTCTGTTCAGCATTTTACAAGTATATTCAAGTGATCTCAAGTGTTTTTTCGATGCAAACATCTTTGTATTTGGAAATGACACACAAGAATTGTTTTGTTAAAACTTGATAATCATGCAAATCGTATTAGGTACAATGAATGAAGATCCCGACAAGGACCTGATTAACTGAACCATATTATATCATACACTAGGTTGAAACGTCAAGGTCCTAATGTGGGCCCAATCATTATGATCTTATAAAAGTCTTCCTTATTCATTTGTCGTTAGGATATTACAAGGACTCACTTACCTAGTGGGATTACCTTTCATTCACCCTGTTAGGTCCTTATCAATAATGTGATTAGGTGAACCTGATCAAAATTTCTAGTCGAGACTCGACGGTCGCGACGCGCACGCCTAATTTAGACACAAATTAGGCAGACTTTTCGCGTGATGAAGGATGTGTTGAGCGACGAGTTTACTCGCGATCGCAAGCAACGCACGGCGTGGCGCGCGCGTGGCGACCACTTTTTGCCTTTTCCAGCACGTGTGCAGTTCGGTCTGCTTTCTTCTTTCCTTTCTTTTTTATCGACCGCTTCACGGTGGCATTCGCGTAAATTCGCGTCGTGGGGAGTTTGGCGAACGCGAGCTCGGCGATAATAATAAGGGCCCGCTTTCGGTGGGTGCAACGCGAGAGCACTTTCCGAGAACGTTCGGCTTCTTGCGACGAGAACGGGAGTATCCTTGTGCACGCGGCGCGTGCTCGCCGACGCGTGCATAACGAGGCTATCCTAAGAATTCCGAAAAAATGCCGCAGGGGGGGGCGGAGTTAAAGAGGACGCCTTGAGAGTCGCTCGGGAGCCCCCTTAACGCGCAATTGACGTCGACCGAGGCGGAAAGGATCGCTGACAGGACTTCGATGAGTTATCGCGTCTCGGTACGCGGTAATTAATTGTCTCGGGATTTGACCTCTTCGCCCTCCCCCCTCTTCCGTCTCCTCGTCTTCATCATCACTGAATCACGCGCGCGCGCGCGCGGGCGCGATCGCCATCGTCGGCGGTCCGAAGACTCATCAAGCCGAAATGGATTATCGACGAGCCCGTTTGCCGATGAGATTGAAACAATTTTAATTCAGCGTACGACAAATTAAATAAATAAACGGATAGCGGGGACGCGCGTGCGAGCGAGCGTGCGAGCGCGCGAAAAGCGCTTTCGTGATTATCGCGAAATATTTCATCGAGCGTTGTGTCTCGCTTTTCAACGCGTTAAAGAGGAGTGAGACGGGGTGAGAGTGAGAGGGCAAGAGGGAGGGGGGGGGGTGAGAGATTATAGAAGAGCCATTAAAAATTTAATAACAGCCCTTGGAGAAATCGGAGCCGGATGTATTTCGCTCGTAGCTGGCGCGAATCAGATAAGCCCTCTCTCACTCCCCCCCCTCTCTCTCTCTCTCTCTCTCTCTCTCTCGATCTCATGCTGCGCATTGGACGCTTTCCAAAAATACATTTTTTATACTTCGGCCCGGCGCGGTATCGCTACGCGATCTCGAATTAACGCGGGCTATAAATCAGCATTATTTCTCGCAGAGAAAACATTTCGATATACCGGTCGGGCCAAAAAAAAAAAAAAGAGAGAGAGGAGGGAGCCGATCGAGATTAATCCTGCTCGACGACAATCGAGTTTTTATAAGCGGCTGCATAATGCCGATAGCTTATCGGCGCTCGCATCGGAACGGATATGTCTGTCCTACGTACATTTCATAAACTGCGCAGCGAGCGCGCGCGCTCTGCAGAAAGGAGACATTATATTTTCGAAAACACCCGCCGCGCGTTCTCGTCGCGCGTCTATTTTCCCGGAATCTACAATTCACCGACAGCTTTACAACAAGCGAATCGATATTTTCAGATCGTCGAATGTTACGCCGCGCTGATAACGCAACGCTAATTCATCCCGCAATCGCCGCGCGCGCTGCGGAGGGACCGCTTCCTCCCCCTCGTCCTTTTCTCTCTCTCTTTCGCGGGAGCATTCGCAGAGGAAATCGAGCCGATCCTCGCGATGCGTCCGTCCCGACGCGACAGGACAACGAGGAGCCGCGAGAGCGCGAGGTGACGACACCGACATCCAATTCATTCTTTCGTTACTTCGGCCTTTGCATTCGAATCTCACGTTGGAGGATTAAAAAATATTTAACGACCAAAATAGCAAGAACGCGTCCGCAGTCGCGTGCGCCCCCTCTTCCCCCGCACGGCTGATAAAAAGCTGCAGGACTTTCCGAGGGGAGACGAATCCCCTGAAAATGGGCCATCGGGGAGAAATGTCGCGACCTTCGAGCGGCCGATCTCGAGGAGAGTCAGCGGTAGTCAGCAACGGTAGCAGCAACTACGAGGTGGCGACTCGCTTCGGCAAATTTTCCACGTGGCAAGGCCCACCTCAATAAGGATGTCCCAGGCGACGGACGGAGCGACGGTGGCAGCGGCAGCGAGCCGGGAATTGCCCCCGTTTGGGCAATCTCGACATCTAAATTCGCCCTCGGACGATGTTCGACCGGAAGACTTCTTCTTCTTCTTCTTCTGCTCGCACTGTCGCTCGCTGCTACCGCCGTCGCCGTCGGGATACATTTCTGCGGGCAGGAGGTACACGCCCGTAGACACGTATTTATGTAGGCGCAGAAAGAGAGCGGAGGAGAGGCGGGACGCGGCCGATGATGCAGATGAGATGGTATCACAGGCGCGCGCGCAAGTAATCGTCAGATCTCGGCTGCGCCGGGACAATACCGGCCGGTTCTCCGCTGTTCGGGAACACTCAAACATCGCGCGACAATGGCCGCCGAACGGCCGACAGCTGCTTAACGCTCTCGCCCTCGCGCCCATACGATCATCCTCTCCCCCTGTCCTCACTATGTTTTCCCTCGCCCCTTCCCGGGGAATTTTAAGCGACGGATTGTCGATACGTTAGAAAAAAAATGGTGGAGGTAGAAGAAGAAGAAGACGAAGAAGAAGAAGAAGAAGAAGGCGAATTCGCCGAGCGAGCATCGCGAAGCGGAGTCGACGAAGAAGCCGAGGCGACGACGAGAGATCCGCTCGCCTGCTCGTTGGCCGTAAAACGAAAACGCGGCTGCCGGAAGCGCGAGCGCACGCGGTAGTCGCGCTTTAGCCGGGGCGCTAAAAAGAGACGCGCGAAGACGGGGGAGAACGAGACGCGGTGGAGTTCGCCCTTGCTGCCCTGCGTCTCTCGTAAAAACCGAAAATCCGCAGATCGGCGATGGCCGATAACCGAAAATACAGCTGCAGTTTGCGGTCACCCGATGCACGCCGGCCGTAGATGGCCGATCGCGATTAGCGAAACGGAGAACGAGTCCCGAACGAGAGAGAGAGAGAGAGAGAGAGAGAGAGAGAGAGAGAGAGAGAGAAAGAGAAAGGGGACAGGGGAGAGAGAGAGAGAGAGAGGGGGGGAGAAAGAGAGGAGGTGGCTGGGAAAAGTGTATTTTGACTGGAGCAACCGTAATTTGGCGAGTATTGTGCGGCGCCATTGTCGCGACACGCCTCGCGACAAAACGAGCGCTTTTCAACGTGAAACGTACGTCTTCATATATAATGCGAAGGCCGCATAAAACGCGACGGCCGCTTTCCCCACGGAGACCGCGTCGTCGTCGGGGTCCTCGAGAAATTTGTTTGCGCTTGTTGGTGTCGTCCAGCGTCGTCCACACGGCCGTTTCTCCGCGGCCCTCCGAAGGGAACGCGAGCCCATTGTGGTCGCAGTCGATCGCCGCGCGTCCGGGACTCTCGCGCGTGATAAATCGACAGGCGAGCGACAGAGAGCGGCAGCTTGCGTGCCGGTCGCCGGTCGCCGGTCGACCTCGCGGACGAATTTCGTGAAGCGTCATCAGCCACTTGGACTACTTCGCGGTCGTCGCGCGCGAAAATTCCAAAATTGTACTTTTCGCGGTCTTTTCTCGGGCGGAATTCTCAACTCGCGAAGTGGAGCGGCCGCACTCAAACTCGAGCGACTTCCCCCACTTATAAGAAATGAATTCCTCACTCTGAATCGTCAGACGAATATTTTCATTCGGGATTGAGCGAGACCTACGATTTCGCTGAAATTTAGAGAGCGAGTGCCGGCGGAGAAAAATTAGCGAAGATAATTGCCCACTGCGGATCGCCCCGGAAATTTGGAGGAGGCGAGTTTTCCTTGTAAATATCGCGGACCAACGATTTTCTCGAGATAGCGCGGTTGATGATACGCCCGGGGGATTCCGAGAAACGATTAAACCCGGAGGAGGAAACGGCCTAAGTGCCTTTACACACGAAAACGAATAACGTTCGTGACGCTTTGCCTCAGGTTTCAGGATGTAACCAATACATTATGTTCGTCCCAAGATAGGCCCATATCCTGGGGGACTCTGGCTGGTAGCACGATAGATGACTGTAGGAGGTCCTATGACGTCCTGGG